CAACGATAAAAAAAAACGCAGTAAAACAGTAAAATGATTTGAATGTGCAGAAATAGGTATACACATACAAAGGCACTTTAAGCCTCTGGAGACGGTCTCAGATGAGACTGAAAGTACTTGGGAAAATGAAAATTATTTCAAAGAAAATTTGGGTATATTTCTTATTCAATTTTCTACGTCTTCCAAGAAATTGATTTGGGAATTCGAAAGAATTAAAACAAAAATAAACAGACATAGTATATCTTAATTATTTAACCAAACCTGTTTGAATGTTGACTAAATACACAATATATATATATATATATATATTACTCATATATTTCTCCATTTCTGAGATTTAAAATTTCTCAATTAGTTTTACGGCAGTCTCACAATCTTCAGGAAGTATAAAGGCAAGACACTCAATTCTCTTTCTCTCCCTCTGTTTACACACACACACACACACACACACACACAAGACATTCGTAATAAACAACTAAGTTACTACGATAACTTTCCTTGTTGGCTGCCCTAATATAAAATTACACACACACACACACATATATATATATATATAGAGAGAGAGAGAGAGGGAGAGAGAGAGAGTGAGAAAGATATATATATATAGAGAGAGAGAGGAGAGAGAGAGAGAGAGAGAGAGAGAGAGAGAGAGAGAGAGAATTATATATATATATATATATATATATATATATATATATATATATATATATATATATATGTGTGTGTGTGTGTGTGTGTGTGTGTGTGTGTGTATAGGATGTATAATAGTATCCGAAGTGAATATGATGAGAGAAATTGTAAATGTTTTAATCAAAGATACGTTTCACCGGAGAAAATCTTATGTTCTCATTGCTGTCATCATTTCGACTAAAAGAAAAAGCCAATGCTATGAGCTAAGGAAAGTGTTTGGGGATCCAATAAGATATGTTGATTGTTTTAAATCGCATCCATTGCTGTAGCTTGCCACGTTCTGTCTGGACACTTGAAGAGGTTCTGATTGTTTCTGTACTTGTTTGTTTTATCTATATCTGTGTCAGAACCGCTGTTTGCTATTGAAGGATTTTCATTCGGGGACAATCTGGAAATTAATACTGATTATTGGCGACAAGTTCTTTGAATATACAAGGATACATATATATATTTAAAAATACTTCTATGACGTGTATATATGTGTATGTGTGTTGTGTGTGCACTGGTATAATCGATGGGCATGTACATGTATACATAAATAAAATACAATTGAACTCTGATACATATATATATACCTGAGAGGATGTATATGTAGGTATACGAATCTAAGAATGTATATATGTATGTATAGCACGTCGGTATGTATCTACTTTTGCGTATGTAGGTATGGTTGTATTTATATATATATATATATATATATATATATATATATATATATATATATATATTAATTGTAGTTAAATCAGCATTGACTCTCTCAAAGCAAGACAACATGCGTATTTCAAAGACAGGTATTTTGAATAATTATCATTTGGTATAATAGTCCTTTCGATTAATTTTCTTTCAAACAATTTACAATTCGAATAAATTTTTTCGAACAATTTTCTCGATACGATGAAGAATATATTTACAACGTACAGACTGTTGTCCTCATCTCTATTGTCATATTAACGATGTTTCGGCCGTTGTACTCCTCGGCCTTCTTCAGGTGATATAAGTTGAATTACCACCGGAACATTTTATTTAGTCCACGGCGGTAGATTGTTGAATTAATTGAAACTGAGATATACAGAAAATTCATGTCACATGGAATTAGAACAATATACCCCCGTGAACTAAATAAAGAGTCTGACTCAAAATTTCAACGTATATCATCTGAAGAAGGCTGGAGTGTACAACGGTCGAAACTGAGGTAATATGGCAATAAAGATGAGGGAAACAGTCCGAGCGATGTAAATACTGTAAATAGTTAAAATATTTAATCTCACAAATAAGTGTATTTAAGCAGTAAGCATTCATATAAATCATTCTACAAATGATGTCATTTGTACGATTGATTTGAATTTGAATTGTGGTGTTCCAAAAATACCAGGATATAAGGATGTTGCCACAATCTCTAGACTGACATATTGAGAATACTGACAACATTAATTTCCTGATATTATCTGGGATTATTTAAAGCGCTTGAACATGAACTGAAAGCAAATTAATTTTGGACAGTTTATCCTCAAGTTTACGAATGCATGATTTGTATATCAGTTAGAGTCTCACAAAGAGCCGAGAACAAATTCTCTGATGAGTTATTTACTTTCACTTTCGTACAATTACTATTTGAATAGCTATTAATCTTTAACTTATTTCTCCCTCAGGTATCAGTTAAACAATACGACAGGAAAGGAGAATTAAAAATCAAAAGTGTTTGGATGCGTGGTAAGCATCTCCTTTCCGTAAAATCCCAATTCACTTGTTACTAAATAAGCAACACTAAACTTCGTATTGATGCTATGACTATATAACACAGAGAAGAATTTATGAATTCAGACGGAAATACACAATCTTCTTTTTATCTATAATAATTTATTTGAAAAACACAATAACCTTCACCGTATATATATATATATATATATATATATATATATATATATATATATATATATATATATATATATATATACTATGAATGTAGTTTGTCGTTTTCAAATAAATTATTCCAATATTCCTTGAAGATGAAATGGAAATAATGCTTTTACTTTAATTATATAATTAAATTAAAAAAAATTAGCTTCCATTTTTGAAACATGGTTATTACTGTGTAGCGAAAAAAAAATATTTTCAATCAGTTAATTTATAATATTTATGCTCTGTAAATTTACATTGAGAACTGCATTATTCGGATATACGGAGAATAAAAATATACACTGAGAATATATATATATATATATATATATATATATATATATATATATATATATATATATATATATATATATATATATATAAAAGAATGGTAAGATATATAATCCGGTGTTCTTATTGATATTTTTTTATATTATATATATTCTCAGTGTATATTTTTATTCTCCGTATATATAAAGAAGTGTTGGAAAAATCACTCTAAACCCGTGATTGACTGAGTAAGGGTAATGGTAATGATAATATTAGCCGTTTCCTTATAAGGTAACATTGGACATTCATTGAACGAAAAATCAGTACCACGGCCGGTTGAAATTTATAGAATCTTTTAATTAAAACACTTTTTTCAGGAAATTCTGTTAATTAAGTTCATTAATTATCATTTCTTTCACCAGTATTGATGGATGTTTCCTTGCTAGCCTGTTGGTTGAAGAGGTGTGTAATGTCAACGTCTTGATTGTCATTATTTTCTCTTCGAGTTACGTGTACGAACCATTTATTTCCTGCTGCTGATAAAAGCCTTTAAACGATCTTTTTTTTTTCATTTGGCTACGTTTTCGTTTGTGTTTCTATAGCTCCAGTACAAAGTTTGCTGAAGTCTGGTCCTATCTAAGACCTAAAGAATTCATACGCTAGAAGCTACTTTTAGCCAATTATAGCAGTTGTTGACAGTTGAAATGTAGTCTTTAATTTGTTCAAATTCATTGAACACTAGCTGTTCCATTTTTGGGTTTTTTGTTTTTTTTTTACGTTTTTTTTTATTACCAGTTCACAGATTTTTTTTTTTTAACTTTACTCTTGGCCGGTTACATTTGTTAAACAATTTAGAAGTGTCTCAATTTAATTAATTCTTTTTCTTTTTTCCTTCCTCTTAGGACACAAGTTTTCATATTCCTTTTCTGATAAATATTCTCTTAGAGAAAAATGATTCTCTCGTTTTTGTTTCTTTTTGCAGAACCAACCATTCTCCTCGACATCCATATATTCCACTCTGTACCTTTTCCCTTTCTTTTGTCTTTCTTTCTTTCTTTTTCAATAAAGCTTTCTTTCTCGATAAAGATTACTTTCTTTCCCAATAAAGCTTTATTTCTGAATGAACTTTTTTCTTTTTTCTCAATAAATCTTTCTTTCTTTCTCAATAACCTTTTTTCTTAATAAAGCTTTCTTTCTCAATAGTCTTTCATTATTAGTAAAGTTGTTTTCTGTCTTTCTTCTCAATAAAATAAAAAAAATTCCCAATAAAGCTTTCTTTCTCAATAAGGTTTTTCTACCTTCTTCTCAATAAAGCTTTCTTTCGCAATTAAGCTTTCTTTGTTTCTCAATAAAGCTTTCATACTCTCTCAATAAAGCTTTATTTCACAATAAAGCCTTTTTCTTTTTTTTTCTCAATAAATCTTTCTTTCTTACTTAATAAAGCGATTTTCTTTCTCTATAAAACTTTCTTTCTCAATAAACCTTTCTTTATCAATAGAGCTTTTTACTTTCTTTTTTCTCAATAAAGCTTTCTTTCTTTCTCAATAAAGCTTTCTTTGTCAATAAAGGTTTGTTTGACAATAAAGCTTTCTTTCTTTCACAATAAGGCTTTCTTTCTTTCTCAATTAATCTTTCTTTCTTTCTCAATAAAGCTTGCTTACTTTCTCAATAAAGCCTTTTTCCTTCAGTTTTCTGAATAAAGCATTCTTTCTTTCTGAATAAAGCTTTCTTTTTCAATAAATACTTTTTTCTTTCTTTTTTCTCAATAAAGCTCTCTTTCTCAATGAATCTTTCTTTTTTCTCAATAAAGCTCTCTTTCTCAATGAAGCTTTCTTTTTTCTCAATAAAGCTCTCTTTCTCAATGAAGCTTTCTTCCTTTTTTCTCAAAAACGCTTTCTTTCTAAATAAAACTTTTTTTTCTCAATAAAGCTTTCTTTCTCAATAAATATTTCTTTCTTAATGAATCTTTCTTTGTTTCTCAATAAACTTTCTTTCTTTTTTCTCAATAATGCTTTTCTTTTTTTCTCAATAAAAATTTTGTTTTCGTTTTTCACAATAAAGCTTTCTTTCTCAATAAAGATTTATTCTTTCTTTTTTCTCAATAAAGCTTTCTTTTCTTCTCAATAAAGCGTAGTTTCTCAGTAATGCTTTCTTCTTTCTTTTCTCTCATTAAAGCTTTCTTTCTCAATAAAGCTTTCTTTCTTTTTTCTCTGTAAAGCTTTCTTCCTTTCTCAATAAATCTTTCTTTCTTCTTCCAAATTACAATGTGATATCAATTTACACTATTTCTTTCTTTTCCTATTTTCTTTTTGTCCTCATACTTCTCCCTTTATTTTTATTTTATTTTGACGTCATACATCCTTTTTCATTCTTCTTATGAACATTCTACTTGACATCACGTCTTTCTCTCCCCCTTCCTTCTTCGGATCTTTTCCTTTACTTCATTTTTCTCTTTGTTTCATAACGTTTCAGAACGTCTTCTCAACATGATTTTCCTCTTTTTCTTTTATTCTTCTTCTTTACAATCTCTTTTTTTATTACTATAATTCCTCTTTCTCTCTTCTTCAGGAACACGTTTTGTTTTATTATTTTCGCTTTCATTTATCCTTCTTCGATAAATGATTCTTATTATGCTTCGTTTAATATTTTTCTTTTTTTTTTGTTTTTGTCTGTCCTTCTTTCTTTTTCGTTCATTTTTATGTCTGCCTTTCTTTCTTTTTGTTTTGCCGTCTGCCTTTCTTTCTTTATTTCTTCCCTACCTTCTTTCTTTCTTTTTTATTCTTTCTTTCTTTCTTTCTTTCTTTCTTTCTTTCTTTCTTTCTTTCTTTCAGGACATCTTGATATCATATTAATTCCCCTCTGTCTTTCTTTTGTCTTGACATCTTAAATCTTTTGGACTTATTTTATTTCTTCTTCGGGGGGTAATCACAATATAAATCTTTCCTCTTTCATTCGTCTTCATAAACTCTTTTTCACATCATTCATCTTTCTTTCTTCTTCGTAATGTGTTCTTGATATCATTATCTGTTTATTACCTCACTTTCTCCTTACTTCTCTATTAAAGAATATTTACTCATCTTTTTTTATCTTCTACAAACCTTGAATTCTCTCTCTCTTTTTTATTCTTTCTTCTTCATCGTTCTCTATTCTTCCTTTCTTCCATTCTTCCTTTCTTTGTTACAATTTTATCCTTGTCTCTCCAGAAAACTTTATATAACTCACTAACGAACCCTTCCATATTTAAACTCCTTTCACGAACGCCAGAGACAATCGCCTTCATTGCGAAACCCCCTCTGCACCGACAATCAGCTACATACTGGACACGTAGACACATGGGCGAACCTGTCCCTTGAAAGACATGAGCAGAAACGAACAAATGGTCCAATGGTCACAGTTAACCGATGATAACATGCGAATAGCTGACAGAGATAATAATATTCTCCGATCAGGCCGTGAATTGAGTAGATATTAAACGGCCAATTGTACAGACTCTCATCATGAACGTATAATTGAAGTAAGCACTTGATCTCGTCACCGATAATTAGAGTTTTCTCTAATTAGTTAACTTGTCTATTGATTTGCATCCCATATCAGTCGGCGTAATGGACATCTATTCAATAACCTCACACTTCATTCTCTGCGGCTTGGTTTGGACGAACAAACTAGGACGATTCAATTAACATTTCATTCGGTAAAAGGCAAAGATTTGAAGCGTTGATAAATGTGGCGCGAATACTGTCGTGCATTTTGTTGTGATCGCATCACAAATGAAAGAAGTGCATGAAGAGCAGTTGCACAAGCATGAATGCATTTTAAGGGATGTGACTAATGTACTTAGGCATTAGAGTATGGTTTCATTTTCTTTGTTTATTTTTTTTTGTTTTTTCAAAAAAAAGTAAAATTGTTATACCTTTCTGAGAATTGCCTCCAATAATTTAGAAGCGTCCTAAATGTCGCGTTTATTTTAACACATTCACTACTAACTCGTACTTGGCAGTTTTTACTAAGACGTCGACTACTCTTTCATACCGACTACGATTTATCCCATGCCGGCTACGAGTAATCTCATGCCGACAATGAGTTTTGCCAAGTAGACTACGAGTAATCTTACGCTGGCTATTATCCCATACTTACTATAAGTTATCTCATGCCGGCTACAAGTTATGCCATGCCGACTACGAGTTATGCCATGCCAGCTACAAGTTATGCCATGCCGACTACGAGTTATCTCATGCCGGCTACAAGTTATGCCATGCCGACTACGAGTTATCTTACGCTGGCTACGAGTTATACCATGCCGGCTACAAGTTATGCCATGCCGGCTACAAGTTATGCCATGCCGGCTACGAGTTATCTCACGCTGGCTACGAGTTATACCATGCCGGCTACAAGTTATGCCATGCCGGCTACAAGTTATGTCATGCCGACTATGAGTTATCTCATGCTGGCTACAAGTTATGCCATGCCGACTACGATTTATCTTATGCCGACTACGAATTATCTAATACCGACTACAAGTTATCTCATGCCGGCTATGAGTTAAGCCATGACGACTACGAGTTTTGCCATGTAGGCTACAAGTTATCTTATGCCGGCTACAAGTTATCTTATGCCGGCTACGAGTTATGCCATGCCGAATACGAGTTTTGCCATGCCGACTACAAGTTATCTCACGCTGGCTACGAATTATCTCATGCTGACTACTAGTTAACTGATGTTGGTTACGAGTTATCTTATGTCGCCTACGGGTTATTTCATGCCGGCTACGAATTATCTCATACCGGTTACGAGTTGTCTCATGGTTGGCATTTCCTGATACATTTTCATGTGTGGGCAGTAATACTTTATGTGCAAAAACAATGTTATGACTTCAGTTGAAGCTATAAATCAACTGATAATTGTTTTGTTTTTGCTAAAGCCGGCTATTATAATGTTGGCGTTTAATGTGATATTTCGTAATTGGCCTCTGACCGTCAACGTGTTAAAAACTCCGATAGTATTTACATTATTTAGAATATTCGAACTGTTATCCTCATCTTCATTGCCATATTCACAACGTTTCAGACGTTGTACGCCCCGACTTTCTACATGTGATTGAAATTTCGAACCGAACACTATTTCGTCCACTTGGGTAGATTGTTGTATTTCCACGTGCCATGCCTCTTCCGGTTGCCTCAGTTATTTCCCTTTAACTCAGCTGTCTAGGTTTGGCTCACCACTGATGTGGCTTGGTATTGAACTGACAACTCTTCGGGTCTAGTCACTGGATCTAACCAACATCTTACCCAGTGGATAAACTTGACTTGGATAGTTGAGGTAAAGAGAAAAAACTGAGACATCTGGAAGAGGCATGCCACGTGGAACTAGAACAATCTACCACGGTGGAAGAAATAAAGGGTTCGATTCGAAATTCTAATCACATGAAGAAGGCCAGAGTGTACAAAAGCCGAAACGTTGTGATTATGACAATGAAGATGATGATAATAGTCCGAATAATGTAAATAATGTAAGTAATCATAATACCTCATCTCAGAGATATAGACAGATACCCGATAGTACTGTGAGCCATTGTCACGTCATTAAACATCCAATTTAGAATATTTAATGTTCATGTTATATATAAAACAACGAACAAACAAAAAGTATAATAGGCTTCATTTTGAAAAATCGATTCGTAGACGATATTATGAAATAAATTTGTAATAAGTTTCAAGAATTAAAATATGCAGACATAAATTTGATTTCATTTTTAACAGGCACATAAAACTGTCAGCAATTCAAACAAATTTTATGAATAAAACAAGAAAATCGTTATACTTAATTGACAGGTCTTCAGAAAGCTACTTGTCTTATCCTGAAAATTTGACATAACACATGCAATAATTTAAGGATAATTATATTATGGCGTATGTAACAAAATCAGTCAACTGAGGTCTTGTTAAACTGAAAAAAAAAAGCTGTACATGTCGCAAGAAAAAGGGGATTTGGAACATTTTTTTATGATTATCTCTAAGAGAAATCAACTTCAAAGCAAAGAGCAAGAGTCTCAGACAGAGAAACAGAGTGGAGAATGGTTTGGTTTGGTTTGGTTTAGATTTAACGACCCATCAACCATTTGGTCATTTAAGAGTCAGTTTTTGAATTTTGGGATCACACTTTTATAATGTAGTTTATTTGTTTTGAAGTTGGTGCACATGTTAGAATGGTTGTATGCATTAGATTGGTTGTACACATTTTTATTTTAATTATATTTTGTTGCATAGTCCTATTTTCTTTAAATATACCATTAAATGATCTATCTTGTGTTCAAATAGTTCTTTCATTGTTTTTGTATTGTAGTACTTTTTCCGTACAGATGAAAAGTCAGCGCAAGTCTATCATGAAGTGTCTTACAGTGTATGGGGCAGGACAGGCTGTGCAACATGGCGGTTCCTTTTTTTTAAGCAGGAATAGATGAGTTATTTTAGTATGTCCAATACTGAGTGGAGAATGGACGGGGTGTTTTGATTGTTTCCTCCCTCCTCACCAACGGCACATGTCACCTTCTCTTGCTTATAATAGTAGGTTACAACCCAAGAATAAAAGTCTTGTTTACTCCTAGAACTTGTTTCGTTTTTCACTGGTGGGTAACAACGATCTGGCCGATGGGCAATTTTTAAGCAACGTGCGTTTGACTGGAAGAAGTTGCACCTTGTCAACGAACCTGGTGTCTGGTCTGTTTTGCAAGGCAAAAGGTATTCATACATCTACAGTACAAACAGAGGGACAATAAAACTCTCAGCAGGTATTTACCCTGGCGACGTGATGCGACACAAATATCGGGTTTAATGTGGGTCACCCGAGCATGTTCACCCTAGCCTCGGCCAAAAATTCCGTAGCCCTCTCAACCGTCGCTTGGGTTAGCGGCATTGATATTAATACCGATACACCTTTCTAATGCAATGATGGGGATACTCCCGCGGGCAGCTGTTCTCTGGAATTGAGTACCTCTCAGTATTTTCCCCAGTTGCGTCAGTGTCTGCGCACAAAGACAAAACGGTCCTAAGATAGAGACGAAACTGAGAGATATTACATTTCCTGTAACAGATAATGTAATATCATTACATTACCTGTAATGTAATAATATTACAATACATTACAATGATATTACATTAGTAATGATATTACAGCGGCGTGGGTTAGTTTCTGTTTGCACGCCATATTGGATTGTTCTGCATTCGCTCTCTCTCTGTAGTGTGTTGTGTTTCTGAATATTTATTTCCATTCATTATGGCTCCAAATAGTAGAGTAACCTCTTCTGTGGTGGTGCCACTAACAAAAGGAAAGCCATAACCATGCAAGTGAATTTGCAATTACATTCCCGGAATATTCCTATTTAGTTGTCAAGGAACACATTCCCATATTTAAAACAGATTTATTGTGCTTTAATCTCTATCTATAAAAGGCAGGATGTGTGTGTGTGTGTGTATGTGTGTGTGTGTGTGTAACGAATGCACGGCCGCAATTTTCGACGGATTTGCACCAAAATTTACATGCACATGCTCCAAGTAAGCGAAAATGCCAAGACCGACTTTGCATTTCCCAACTCCCATTGATAGTGGAAATAATCGATTTTTCATGCTTCTACGGCAGTTTTCATGTAGTTTGCGGCCATTTTCTACTGGCCAGAGTGAGAGCCTATAGCTGGCTGCCACGAACTGGCAGGAAGATTCTATTGGCCAGCGTGAGAGCCAACAGCTGACTGGCACGAATGTTAACTAGCATGCAAAAAGAATCGATAGCTGCATTCATCACAAGTGGGAAAAATTAAATCTGCATGGCACTTTACTCCAATTGGCTCATTCGCTTACTTAAACACAACGTTGATTCTGATTCCGCAGAACTGGG